CAGATGATGCCAGCTGTTCTTAGCCAGGAATGACCATCAAGGAGGGAGAATCCTCCATGCTGCCAGATGATGCCAGCTGTTCTTAGCCAGGAGAAACGTCTAAGCATGACAGAGACAGCCATGGATTTAGCTGTGGCGTCTACCACGTGTTTGGCAGAGAACATTTGCTGTTTGGCGACAGAGAGACTCTCCTGTTGGAAGGTTTGTGCTAATACTTTTTTGTCTTCTGGTAAAGAGTCAAGAAAAGTGACCATATTATCCCAAACAAAGCATTGCTATGCCCCCATAGCTCCTTGGTAATTAGCTACCCTCATAGTAAAAGCCGCTGATGAGTAAAGCCACTTGCCCATACAGTCGATTCTTTGACTGTCTTTGTTAGGTGGGATAAGGGACTGTCAGTTTCAAGATTGGGATTGTGAGGCCTCAACAAATAGGCTGGCTGTTTCTGGAGAAAAGTGCTCCAGAGTCATGTATCCAATAGATATTATCGATTCTTTTCAAGACTGAATGAGAGGAGGCTGGTTTAGTCCAGGATTGCTGAGCGGTGCTAAGAAGAGATGGTAGCATGGAAATATGTACTGGGGTAGTTGTGTCCTTGGAAATATGATCATAAAGTAGATCTGCCGGTTTGGTTGTGGGGCGATGGATAGATCTGCCAGTTTGGTTGTGGGGCGATGGATTTGAAGATCCAGTGACTTAGCCATGCGGATCATGGGTTGAGTGTAAGTTTGAAAATCCTTTGCTGGGGATGGAGGATCTACATCTGTGAGGTTAAAATCTGGCAATATGAGAAGCACAGGTGGAGTTTGTGGTCGAGAGCCATGTTCTGAGACCTCGGCATCAAGCCTGGAATCAATAGAACACTGATCAACTTCAGTATCGAGAGGATGTTGATCATAGTAATATCTGCCACTAAAGAGTGTGGCACATCCATGGACATTTGCCGATGTCGAGAGTTGTAGACCTTCAATGTCAAAGATGCGTCCACGGACAGAGGTAAATGAGATGGGATCTCCGTGTCGAGGTCTGTGTCTTGCTATTGATGGACCATATGTCTAGGTTGGTGCCATTGTTGAGGGCTAGCAACCGAGAAAGATTGAAGTGGAGCGTCCATGGACCAAGATGGATACTGAGGGTCACTGATATCAGAACCAGTATCTCTATGGTGTCAAAAGGGCGGCTGAGGCTGATTTGGTGGACACATAGGTAGGGTCTGTAGAGTAAATCGAGCCTGGGGATGCCGAGTGAGAGGAGTGATTTCCATGATTGTGAGTTGTAAAATAATTAGTCACGGGGGCTGCAAATGCTTTGCAGGTGGAAGCGTGTTTCTTGACTGCCCTGATTTTCACCAGTGATTGATAAAGAGTCAGATGATGGCTGCATGCCTCTAAGTGATAAGACCTCTTCGACATGGAAGATTGTCGAGATGGAGGTTTGTGACGTGATGCTAATACCGGACCGGAGGCCGCGGCTGGTCGAGCATCCACAGCCGGCAGGTTAGAGAAGCACTGATTGGGGCAAAAGTCTACCCGATGAGTGTGCTGTGCACGGGATTGATCAACACGCACTTGTGGAATTGCCTCATATGACAGATGTGCCTGATAGCGGACCAGTGGCCTTGGAGGCTGGCCCAATTACATAGAATAGGGCACTGTGTCCAGCTGAGGTTCGGGTTCCTCTTTCTCTGGGGAGGCGTCAGTGGACAGATTAGGAGGAGAGATAGAGTGCTGGGGAATATTAGGCAAGGAAGTAAGACAGTCTACTCGCGCGTCCCATGTCGGTGACTGAGAAACCATTTGATGAGATGGAAGTCCTTCGTCATCAGAGGGTGAAGCTACAGAAGTTAAATCGCCAGGTTTGGAAACCTGCTGTGGAGAGACTGCCGAGGTCTTTGATTTGGTTTGTTTAAATCGTTTTGGTTGCTGGGGACTGGGAACTGGATCGGAAGGAGGCTTTCGCTTTTCAGAAGGCTTTGATGTCAAAGTTTTCGATGTCAGCTGTTTAGGCCTATGCGTCTTAGAAGTTTTTGATGAAGTGGAAGGCACATCAGAGTGAGATGGAGTAGGGGAGGAACGATATTTTGATCCTCCTGCAATGGCCTTTTCCATGGCTTTGGCTTGTGAGGTGGTTTTACACGCAGTTTGAGCCATAGGTTTTGCCAGTTGCAAAGACTGTTCCCAGAGGCGGAGTCTGAGTTGAGATAGGCGGCAACGGAGGATTCCTCATTAAAAATGTTTACAATGAGGGCATGAGGAGGTTTGATGCACCTCGCCTAAACAAAAAAGGCACTTTGTGTGACTATCCGATAGTGAGATCTTGTTATTGCAAATCACGCTGGGCTTGAACGGGCCCAAAGGGGCCATGAACTATAAAGAGAAGAAAAAGAAAAATCAGAGGGGGGGTTGCGACGGCCGGAGGCCTAGGCATGGAGGAGCAGAACTAAAAATAGTATATGTATCTTTGATTACTAATAAAGAGGGGGGAAATTTAAGTTCAGCAGTAAAAATTGACGTATTTCACTTTCAGACTCACAGAAGATAGAAATAAGAGGCTCTTCCACATGGCGGTTGAAAGAAACTGAAGGGAGAGTCCTGGCACCAAGCTACTTATACGGAGGGGGAGGGGTCTATTCTAATGTGTTTTCTGCTACCGCAGAAGCTCTAGGATATTCCGAAGAGGCTCCGCGCAGGCACGGATCACCCACAGTGTGATTCACAGAAGCCACAAAGAAGAACAAAGATTCTTCAGCAGAGTTACCTAGTCTAGTTGGACATAAGATATGGAAGACTGAGAACTTAGTCAAATTGTCTGTACCTTCCTCTTCTGCTAGGGGTGAGCTCCCCAAAGAAAATTTAAATCATCCCTCCACTCTGAAAATATTATACATTTATTTTATCATTTAACAGCACCATGAACAACTTTCGAAGAACAATGTATTCTAAGACCAACCTTCTCCAGTTAACTATTTTTCCATTCAAAAGACTGAAATCAGTCCCTGGACAGCTTTGTCTACAGTTCTAGAATGATGCTTTCCTGAGATGGTAGAATAAATAACTGGGCACTACAAAACTGCTGCAAATTGCTGACAAGAAACAGGGGGTTCACTACTTTTATGCAGTGCTTGGGAGGTGTGATCCATTTGACCACTGTTGGAAATACTAGATTAAATGGTCCTTTGGTACGATCCAGAAAGAGGTTGTTACTTATCTGTTTTTATTTTGAAAAAGAGACTTACAAATGGATTAGGATGAACGCCTTGATAGTAAGAGCTGCTTTGCAGTGAAGTGGACTATTTTGGAATTTGACAGCCTCTCCTTTACTGGTGGTTTTTGAACAGAAGTAAGAAGGCCATCTGTCAAGGACGCATTGGCTGTGCACCTCCTGCATTGGCAAACGACTGGACTGGATGACTTTTTGTATCCCTACAGTTCTATGAAATACAGTATTAAAAGGTACAGGAGCAATAGAAAGTTTGCATGATTCCATCACTCCCAGACCACTTGAAACAGAGTTCATGGCCTTTGCTCTATTGTTGTTCTAGTCTTGGTTTCTTAGCTTAAATAACTTCTTCACAGCCCCAGAATTTAAACTAAAATATAACACCATTAGGTGCTGCAGAGGTCAATTATGTTTAACTGCCTAAGGAATTCTAAAAATGCAATTTAATAGTCTGAAGGTGTGAAGTTCATGCACACACAGGTAGACCTAAAAGGTGCCAATTATTTACTGACTTAACTGCTGCTACTACTACTGAGAAAAAGTATTCAGGCTGCTTTTCTAGAACTCTAGCCAATTGCACATGGAGTACTTCTGAGTGGGAAAAAACATTTGAAGATTCCCAATATTCAGGGAGTAGGACATTGCCCAGAAGATCTAGAAAGATTCAAAATGCTCCCTTATGCCTGCAAGCAAAATGCAACAAATTCCAGGAGAGTATACAAGGCTTGTACGCTTGCAATCTGGCCAGGAACTGAAGTCTACATGTAGCAAGTGGAATGGATTTCAAGTGCATCTTAGTTTGGTGTCCCAGCTTGTCAATTTAGCTAGGATAGGCTTTATCCAGTCCTAAGAAAGGAATGTAACAATAGCATTGCACTGAGAATAACTGCAAAACCTGTTCATTGCAAATCTCTGTACCTGTGTTTTTATAAAGCAATCCTACCTGCAGCTACTACTGAGAAAAAGTATTCAGGCTGCCTTTCTAGAACTCTAGCCAATTGCATATGGAGTACTTTTGAGTGCAAAAATATTTGAAGATTCCCAATATTCAGGGAGTAGGACATTGCCCAGAAGATCTAGAAAGATTCAAAATGCTCCCTTATGCCTGCAAGCAAAATGCAACAAATTCCAGGAGAGTATACAAGGCTTGTACACTTGCAATCTGGCCAGGAACTGAAGTCTACATGTAGCAAGTGGAATGGATTTCAAGTGCATCTTAGTTTGGTGTCCCAGCTTGTCAATTTAGCTAGGATAGGCTTTATCCAGTCCTAAGAAAGGAATGTAACAATAGCATTGCACTGAGAATAACTGCAAAACCTGTTCATTGCAAATCTCTGTACCTGTGTTTTTATAAAGCAATCCTACCTGCAGATGGCTGGAAAGCACTCCTGGAGTCCCTTCTTCTTGACTAGTGAACCTTCAAGACAATACATGATGATATCCATAACCTACAAAGAAAAAGCAAACCATAATTTACTGTTATTTACACAATACTGGTAAATGGAAGCGGGTAGAGGATTGGATACAATAGACAGATGTATAGTCTCCTGCTAAAGTGCACAAGGCTGATCACTGCATTGCATTTCTGACCCTGTGTACAGTGGTGCCCCGCATAGCGAGGTTAATCCGTTCCAGATTAACCCTCGCTATGTGGAATCGTCGCTAAACGGGGTAGGGGAAACGTATTGAAACGCATTATAACAATAGCATTGCACTGAGAATAACTGCAAAACCTGTTCATTGCAAATCTCTGTACCTGTGTTTTTATAAAGCAATCCTACCTGCAGATGGCTGGAAAGCACTCCTGGAGTCCCTTCTTCTTGACTAGTGAACCTTCAAGACAATACATGATGATATCCATAACCTACAAAGAAAAAGCAAACCATAATTTACTGTTATTTACACAATACTGGTAAATGGAAGCGGGTAGAGGATTGGATACAATAGACAGATGTACAGTTTTCTGCTAAAGTGCACAAGGCAGATCACTGCATTGCATTTCCGACCCTGTGTATGTCTATCTGCTTCACAACCAGCACCATAATGACTCCTGTAGAGGAGACTCTTGCACAAAGTACAGCATAGCTAATAGCTCAATGCATTTGGCAGTAGTTAAGGCCAAACATGGGGAAGCAGTTTCAAGCAATCTCCATGAGAAATGAAAGAATGTACAAAGCCAGTGATTTCATGATCAAGGTACTATCACATACAAGTGATAGTGAGCCACCAATATAGCAAGCAGTTGATCATGTCCTTGAAGATGTTTTTTCCCCCCGTTAGGAAAAATCAGGCCACCTTATTCTGTATCAGATCATTTGTTCCTCTAGCATATTATATCTATACTATCAGAGGCACTCTCGGGTTTCAGTAAAGAGTCTTTCACAGCCCTACCTAAAGACACTAGGGACTGCATCAGGTCTATCATTGAGCCACAGCCTTTTGATTAGCTTATCCTACTTTGTACGTTGTTACAAGTAACATTTATTGTCCTTGAAATACTCTACAAAGGCCGCAATTCCTTTTACCAGCAGGTTTGGCCGATGAAAAGGCAATTGCCCTGTCTTCTCAAATACAGGACAGACACAAACACAGATGTCTTCACATCTTAAAGCCAGGTAGAAATTTTGAGATCAACAGCCTGCCAAAGAGAAACACACAAGTAATAAAATATAGTCTTACCTCTACAAGGAGATCCACTACATCTGTTGGCATTTTTTCAATAAGGATTTCAATAACTCTCAGGATCTCTCCTTTTGCCCGTGCCAGCGTAGAGGTATGAATGTTCTGTTGAGACTGAGTATTCGCTTGGAGAGCAGTATGCCGATGTACCTACAGAAACAGCAAATTTATTAGGGATGCTTACAATTTTTCCCCATTCAATTTTCTCCTTGTTTTATTTGCCAAGTACCAGAGTTGTGTTAGTGTCGCATCATTCTTCCATTTTGAACATGTCATGCTTGACTTATACTTTGCTGCACATTTCAATTTACATTCCCCCTTCTTTTCAGGTTATCAGCGCACAAGAGTACAAACGAACATTTCTCCTTGTTTAATGTTAAAGTAATTTTAACAGGGATTGCGTAAGGATACTTTTTTTACACTGTGATTTAATCAGTGCACATATGCGTTGATGAACAGTGGCAACTCTGGAGGAAGAGATATAACTCAAAAACTGTGGCAAACTGAGCATTCACCAATTTCAAATTTTATTTTAGAAATTCTGTAGGTTTAACCAGAAGGTGAATGGGATGGAAAACAAAGAAGATCTGACTCGTAGAACACTAATGAAACAGAATGAGAACATCTGCTCAACTCTAAAGATTATATGTATTATCTGCCAAACGTGACCAATTAATGTATTTAACCCTTTCCAAAAGATTTTCAGTAATTTTCCAGTAATACATTTACAGTTATTTTTCTCCCAACACAACACTACCTTTAAAGGACTTTAACGATTTTTCAAAAGTAAGCTCTAATTGGTAGAGATTATTTTTCACAAGTAATCATATTGAGTATCAGAGACAGAGGTCTCATAACTCCACCTGATAGGGCTGTCAAGCTCAAAAACATCACAAATGAATCATCTTTATTCTGAAGTATGGCTTAAGAATAAATGTCATTTACACATGAAACCAGTTGTTACTTTAAGTTTTGTAAATATGTATTGTATGTTTGCAATCCTTCTCGTTAATGTCAGGGAGGTTATAAAAGTAGACTCAAGTATCTTGTTAGCTTCTCCAAATGTAATCCTTTCTCTGGATAGTTCTTCAAAGCAACAGCCTAAATACATTCTGGAAGCAATGGTAAGACTGTTATTTTAGGGCAGATATTTAGAGATCAAGATTAAAAGATATGTTATTGTGGGTGGAGGCGGTGGCTACTCACATCTATAGACCTTTTCTGGGCCTTTATGGCTGAAATCCTGTTGTGCCACTATGTAAAACAGGTGACTTTTGGAGGTAAATTGCCTCATGCCATGTCATGTGACTTGGAGCGCAACAAATAATACCTACTGAGATTTCTCAGTGTGAGGTAATTCACCTCCAAAGGTCACACCTTTTACATAACAGCACAATAGTATTTCAGCCTTTGAAATGTTCATTGTTAGGAATAGCAAGGGCAGGGGAGGAGCATAGATGTTATATCTAGTATACTGAAGACCTCTGACAGAGGTGTCTTCAACAGTATAGGGACACAGAGATAGACTCTACGTAACTGATGTCCAATTGTAGCCTGTGGGAGGCATTGATAACCCAGTTCAAGCCCATTCGTATTACCCATCCTGGATGTTGTATCTTAGTCACAGTGCACTGTGACAGAAGAAATATGCTACAAATATGCATTGCATTATATTTTTGAATACTGCTGTTATCTTAGAGGCTCATATATTCGTAGAACCACTCTGCAGGTTAGTCTATGAATCTAGAGCTGGATTCAAACATTATTTTGCTATTGCTACCTTTCTTAAATGTTATCTATACCTTGTTTATGTGTGTACCCATACAGCATACAAATTCTGATGTATGTATTTCATACACATATGCCACTATACCTCCTAGGAAGAAAGTAAAATTTAAATATTATGATATAAAAGGGATAGACAAGTCAATTTACAAACATCTCTTGCTACTGAAGTAAATGTCCCTTCTGAAGTGGAGGGTCAGAAGCAATGGAAAAGTTCCTTTGCTCACCTCCTTGGCAATAGTTGTTATGAAGGCGGGTGGTCTGGCCGTGGCAATGAGCGAGAGAGCGTGTCGTGCAGAGCGGGCGGAGTCAGCTGCAGGACTCAGAGGCAGTCCCATTGTGATGCTAATCAGAGATCAGACAAAGAGGGAAGGGGGAGGAAGGAAGAAAAGAAGCATTAGAAATATAGAGTGAAAAGATTAGACACAGCTTATAATGTCAGTTCAAGGTCAACGGGAGCACTCAAACAGTTAGAATATAATGGACTTCCAACAATGAGCAGTGATTAGGAGTCAGGGTGTTCTAGCATCTAATACAAAATCAAATAATTAACCATGAAGATTGAAAACCGTATGTGCATCTGTCAAAAGTGTTAAAAAGAACTTGTTAACAAATTGTCCAGCTGTAGTACTGAATACATATCAAGAACTGAGGCCAACGCAAATGTACAGTGTGATGCAAAACACACACACACACACACACACACACACACACACACACACACACACACACACACATTGAAATTGTATATTTTATTTCTTGGATAAAGTTTGAGTGAAACTATGGACATAACTCTGTCACTACCATTATTCCAGTCAGCTTCTTTCCAGAAGCTATTTCAGAAACACTTCTTTCTCCTGCCAGGCGGTGTAAAAGAGCACTGGAAATAGTGGTTTCATTTCCGTATCTGTTTCCTCTTTTAACTCACCTTGTTTCTAACTACAGAATTTCTAGGAGAACAGCCATGTCTAAAATTCTTGTGTCTAGCAGCTATCCTGAAATGGGGCTCATACATCCTGGGTGTGTGTGTTTGTGTGTGTGTGTGTGTGTCATCATGGCAAACTTGAAGGGGGCCACAGACTAGAAACAATTCTTCACACATCACCTTCTTAAAGTTTGTCATACAAATTATACAATCCTGATTTGGCCTGTACTTCTTTCATATTGTGTTTATGACCATGGCCAAAAAAAAAAAGTTGAGAATGGCTGGTCCACTGCTTTGAATATTGCTGAGAAATCTTTATTGGGAGACAGAAGAACTGTTTCTTTCTTAACACTGCCAGTTTACACTCACATACTGGAAAGGATATGTTCCACAGTTTGCTATGAGGAACAAACCGCAAAACAATGAATAATTTAAAGAATTGAAAACAGACACCTTCAAATGCAGTGCAGTAACATATCACTTTCACAGGATAAAATTGACACTGGAATCTATATTTTGATGACGTACTGCTTGTACAGGCATATGGATAACACAATTAAATAAACTGAAACATGAATATAAATGGATTCCCTCCTGCTTAGACAGGTTGCATTTATGAGAATCTTGAGTGAAGCTGTGACGTACAGTGGTGCCCCACAAGACGATGTTAATTCGTTCAATTGAAATCGGTGTTTTGCGAAAACACTGTCTTTTGAAAAGCATTTCCCCATTGGAATGCATAGAAATCCGTTTAATGCTTTCCAATGGGGAAGGTCAACGTCCAGCGAAAATCACCCATAGGGAAGCCATTTTGCAAAGCACCGATCAGCTGCAAAAGTCATCATCTTGAGAAAAATGGTCTGTGAAGCACAGACCAAATCATCGTCCAGTGAAATCCCCCATAGGAAAAACTGTTTTGCGAATCGCTATAGTGATCGCAAAATGTCATCGTCCTGCGGATTACCCGTTTTGCGGGGTGATCATCTAGCGGGGCCCCACTGTACCTCCTTCAAAACATGGTGACCTGCAGAATCTGCACAAGAAGCATGGCTGAGTTAAAGTAAGGTACAGCTGTCTCTGTTCCTTGCTATGGCATACATTCTTAGCTTAAACCTAAGTGAGACAGTGGAGGCAGAACTACACCTAAATCAGTTCTGTCCAACTACATAGTGCTTTGCAAGCATTGATAAATTATTCTTTCTTTTGTCCATGGAAGAGATATTGCTAGTTGGAAAACTTCTGATTTATTTCAAGTCTGAAAATCTACTTTGCAACAGTACATCTTCTTAATAATAAACACTAGAAATTAAATGAGGAAGAAGGTCCAGTTCTAATATAACAGTTTTGACATCATGAAAAAGGTTTGGGCTTGAATGTTTCCTCATTTTATTCTATATTCAAATTCCCTCCCTCTCTTCCTGGTGTGAATAAACTGTAGAAACTAACAGACACAGGTCAGAGAGTGCAATGGAGCAGTCTGAAAAAGCCTAATCCCTATTACAACATATGAAACAATACCTGGCTGTTACATATTGGATTTATGAGGGTGGGTGTTTTATTTTTATTTTATTTTGGCAATTTCAGCTAACTTCATTTCCACGTAACCATGTCACATTCTGCGTTATTCAGGAGTGTCTGCTACTGGCCCTGAGGATCAGTTTTGGGGTCAACACACAGGTCAACACAGCAAAGGAAGATGGCAGAGTTCCTATTCTGTGAATGGGACACTGAAGTAACTTTTTTTTAATTGCCACTAACTGTCAGAAGAGGGAACAGCTCTCCTAGCATGTTGTAATTCCCTATAACTGGAGCCAAAATAATCTCAAACAAATGAGCTTTTAGCACCACTGATTACAATTTGCCCCCACAAGTTAATCAACTTAAAGTCTAGGAGATTAACCGGTCAAATAAAGGTTGCAGCTTACTGAAAAAGTGGTGCATCCATATACAATGCATGTAAGACTGAAGAATCAAGAAAGTGCAACAGCTAAAGCATCATCTCTATCTGCATCACTCAGAGAAAGTACACACCTCCGGAATCCCCTTCCAAAGCGCCACCATAGTGTAATCTTTCCCATCTCCTCAATCCCAACTTTGCCCCATCTATGTGACAGATTCGTAATGTGTTTATATTATGCAGTGGGTGTGGGTGCACTCTGGCAACTGTTTTACATATGACCTGCAAATCAATATAGCTCCTATATTTTATATTTATATTTCTGCCCTAAGATAGATCTATGCGTTCTTTTGGCTTCCTCCTCCTTCTCTTGGGCAAAGCACAGATTTTTCTAAAAACCAACAAACTCCCTTGTAATTCATTAATGACACTCTGTAGTGTTAGTACATGGCCAGAGATTAGCCCCCTCCTGTAGCTGGGCCAGCTGGTCTGTCAGAGCAAAAACTGTGCATGAAAGAACAGGCACTTTGCATCAAGGCTGAAGACCAAAATAAAGGCAGATGCAAAGCTAACACGGCCAAGGGAGTGCCAAGGCTAGTCCCTCTGATTATATATTTGACGGAGGAATTTTGCTCTTCCACTACTGACTCTTCCACACATAGACTGCTGCCATGCAAGAAATCATTTCTGTTGCTGTTGTTGTTGGGTGTCAACAAGTCAGAACTAACTTACAGCAACCCTAATAGGGGGTTTCAAGGTAAGTGAGATAGTTAACTAGTGTTTTTAGCAATTCCACTCTCCCAGTGAGTTTCCATGGCTGAGTGGGGATTCAAACCCCAGTATCCGGAGTCCTAGTCCATCACACTGCTGCACTTAGAATAAAATACACATCTGTAGCTAAAATGCAATACTTATTCAGGGTTGGGGCATACGTCAGTGGCAAAGCACAGGCCTTGCAGAGAGAAAAGTCCTAGGTTCAATCCCAGACACAGCCACTTAAAATGCTCAGGGTCAAAGCAAGAGGAAGAACCTTCTCTGTTGGACCCTCGGGAGAGCCAGAGCCAGCCAAAGTTGATGATACCAGGCCTTTTACCTAGTTGCACTAGCACAGCAAAATTGGCCTAACTTTTGGAGGCAAATTGTTCCAAGTTAAAAAATGACCGTATGACTCAGGATCCAACAGATCATGTCTACAGTGATTTCTTAACTTAGGGCAATCACCATATGACTCAGGATCCAACAGATCATATCTAGAGTGATTTCTTAACTTAGGGCAATTTCCCTCCCAAAGGTATGCTATTTGCTTAGCTACACAGGAGGATTTTGGCCAGCATTAGGCAGCTTTCTTAGGATATTACTACAAAATGTTTATTAATTGATACGAATGTACAAATAGTAAGTATATCATCTAAGGCAATATTCCATGGTGTAGACACATTTTCATTTATACGGGTTGTTTTTACAGGAAAAGGTAAAATAAAAATATTTTAAATAATAAATAATAAAAATCCCAAACCACTGACTAATTAAAGTATTTAATGAAGATGGAAAGAATGTATCTGTGAAGATTCTCAGTCATCCATGTGAGGTTATCTGGACGTTGAGTCATGGCAACTGGACTTCTTTCTTAATAGGTTGGAAAGTTTTACTACTCATCCAAACAGCTTCTTCAGACTGAGGAGAGTTGGTAGAGATTCATGGTATATCCGCCTCGTTGGCCTATTCAGACCAGGGGGAAGTGAAACCAACATGGAGGATATATCAGGAGTCTCCTACCAACTCTCCTCAGAGTGAAGAAGCTACTTGGATGAGTAATGAAACATTTCAATATAATAAGAAATAAGTCCAGTTGCCATGACTCAGCTTCCAGATAATGGAAATAATGTGTTGGTTTAGATAACATCATGAACAGAATCTTCACCTGCTAGATGTAATTCATTGTTTTCAGTCCTGTGGAGGACCTCCAAGCAAGACAGCTCAATTGGACTGTGTTGTATTTGTGAAGCCTACAAAGGTACTGATCATCACTTAGCAGTTGGGACTCACATGTGTTACACCAATGTAGGCAGTACCAGTGAAACCACCGCTACATAAATTACAACAAAAAAGGTACAAATGGTCTCAGTATGAAAGGAGAAAGAATTCATACTACATAAATTACAACAACAAAAAAAGGGTACAAACGGTCTCAGTATGAAAGGAGAAAGAATTCATTTACAAAAGATAACAGAAATTCAGCTGCAGCAAATTCTAATTTCTGGCTAAAGAGCTGCATCTCTTTAGGTTTTCTCTTGTAAGAACGTAAAAACATAAAGACAGCCCTGCTGGATCAGGCCGAGGGCCCATCTAGTCCAGCTTCCTGTATCTCACAGTGGCCCCACCAGATGCCTCGGGGAGCACACAAGACAACTAGAGACCTGTCTCCTGATCCCCCTTCCCCTGCATCTGTATTTTGAGGTACCTTCCTTTTAAGTCTGGAGATTATACATCCCTATCATGGCTTGTAACCTGCGATAGACTTTT